AATATTTTTAAAAAATTACTGATTTATTTTAGAGAGAGAGGGAGAGAGAAACATCAGTATGTTGTTCCACGTATGTATGCATTCATTGGTTGATTCTTGTATGTGCCCTGACCAGGGATTAAACCCAAAACCTTGAAATATTGGGACGCCACTCTTACCAACCCGGTTGGTGCTATACCTTAATTTTTTTAATTTAAAAGTCATAAAAGAAAAGTATAATGAATAATTCAATTTAGGAGTATATTCATATAATGGAATATTACACAGTGAGGAATAAAGTACTGCTAAAGGAAACATAAACAAAATTATTATGCTGAAAGAAGCCAGACACAAAAGAGTAAGAGCTTTATGATTTCACATATAGGAAGCTCTGGAACAGGTGAAACTAATCTGCGGTCAGAATAGTGGTGACCTCAGAGTTTAGGTAACTGGGATAGACCATGAAGAAATGTAGGATTGGAGACACTCCTGAACCTTGAACTGTGTGCTGGTTCTTCAGGTCTCTGCTCTATGCTTACCATGTGTGCCCTCGAGGAAATGTTGACTATTCAACTGAACATACACACACACACACACGAAAAAAAACATTATTTTTTTGCGTGAAGCAAAAAAACATTATTTTGTCCTGGCCGGTGTGGGTGTGGCTAAGTTGGTTGTGCGTCGTCCCATGCATCAGAAGGTGCTGGGTTCTATTCCTGGGCAGGGCAAATGCCTGGGTTCCTGTCTGAATCCCCAGGAAAGGATGCAGGAAGCAGCTGATGGATGTTTCTCTCTCACATTGATGTTTCTCTCTCTCTCCCGTTCCCTTCCCTTCTCTCTAAAATCAATTTAAAAAAACAAAAACATTATTTTAATTTTACTATTATTATTTTTTAGTATGAGGGTACGTTTATTAAAGCTGGGGACAGTGAAACAAGGAAGGGCTTAGCATAGCAGAAGCAACAGCAGAGCCGAGGCTGGGCTGCTTTAGCTCATAGGGAAGTCAGAGAAAAGGGAGTCTTGGAGACAGGTTCAGGGATTAGCCCAGGTTCAGCTCCCACTGCCCACGGCTCCCCTGTATCCCTTAGAGCCATGGTCGGCAAACCGCGGCTCGAGAGCCACATGCGGCTCTTTGGCCCCTTCAGTGTGGCTCTTCCACAAAATACCACGTGCGGGCGTGCATGTACATTGCGGTTGAAACTTCGTGGCCCATGTGCAGAAGTCGGTATTTTGTGGAAGAGCCGGTATTTTGTGGAGGAGCCACACTCAAGGGGCCAAAGAGCCGCATGTGGCTTGCGAGCCGCGGTTTGCCGACCACTGCCTTAGAGTTTAGGAGACGCATGCCTGTGGGGGAAGGAGAGAAGGGACGGAATGGCACAGGCACGTTCCCCAGAGGGAGAGCGCGCTGAAAACATTATTTTTTAAAATTGTCATTGCAAGTTACCTGGAGAGCAAGTCCGATGATGCCCAGACCCTGGGCCTGCCCACTGGCGTGGCTAGGCCTGGCACAGGCCAGATTCCCACTTGTGCCCAACCGCATGCAGCTCTTTAACCACGTGAGCCGGCCGCACATGGTTCCTCGCAGACTAGAATTCCTGCCCCACCCCGGCCCAAGCAAAACAACCTTTAAAATTGGCCAGCAGCCCAGGATTTAAACCACTTCCTTGTCTGATCCTCTTCCCTTTATGAGCATCCAGGAAGACAGTTAAAGCTTCTCTTGCTGGAGGGTTGGGGGATTGGGCACCTCTGCTTCATCCCTTGAACTTCCCAGAGTCAGAAGGGACCCTGGCCTGATTTGGAAAGGGGAACCCCTCCCCCGGGCTCAGGCCTGCACCAGGGCCTTCTCTTGTGGAAGTTTTGTCTCCTAGCTTGCCCCCAATCTTCTCCCTGCCCTCCTCTTCTGTTTCCCCTGCAAAATGAACTGAAAACTGCCCTGGTGAGCTGGAGATAATATTTAAAAGTGTCTGGAGCAGACTACGTGCCCCGTGACTGCGGTTATGACTCCGATGGTGGGTTATGAGGGCAGACATGGCTGTGCGTGTCAGCACCTGGCACACAGCCTGGGCTTTGTTAGACACGCAGTGCCCGTAGCTCCCTCCTCCCCATGTGGTCTGATCCAGACGGATGGAGTGGGAAGAGTACACTCAGAGCTGAAGCCAGGCAGCCCAGCCCCACCCCCCTGGCTGCTCTGGGACCAAGGCAGGAAGTGAGGAGTGAGACAGTCCTGGATTGCTGGAATGCCTACTTTGAGTATATCTGCTGTGTGACCTGGGGCAAGTGAGTGCCCTCTCTGGGCAACCAGATAGGGGGAGTCAGGAGACCATCTGCGCACTTAGGGTGGGGCAGACAGTTCTCAGCAGGATAATGGTCAGGGCTCACTCTTTTACTCAGGGGCCTGCACAGCTGTTTCTCCATTTCTGGGGCAAGCTCCCTCACCCAAAGAAATGTTGGCCTTTGTGTCAGCTGCCTGCTGGGTGGATGGG